ATTGGAAAAATGAATGATTGACGAATTCATAGTAAGCTAATATTAAAGTGAATAAAAACCAAAGATATTAGGTGCATTCACCCTATTTCGCTTGTGGTGATAAGGGGACTGGTAGTTGAATTTTCCCACAATGATATGAATAGACCCTCGAATTTTAGATAGTCTTGCTCTCTCAAAAGGAATTATCATACAAAGCGGACTGTAGTTTCGATCTTGCTTAGGTCTTATAAACTCCCCCAGTTGGACTCGAATAATTACAGTACAGTGTATAATCTCGACACGTTAACCAATATGCCACATTGCCACGAATGCTGCTGCAATGGAAACGTGAAGTCTACTCATATAATTGTGGGAAAATTAAACTCCCCTATCACCATAACTGAAATAGTTATTATATCAACTGGTAGTCTCGAAGACCTAGTTATAAACGAAAGATTAAGACCAAAGCCTGCGATATCCTCGATTGAGAAAAAATGAAATAATTCAAAAGCTATAAGAAATAAATTTGATAAATAAACAAGATATCTAAGTTGGATCCTCATTAAAAATACAAAGATGGGATATAAAAATACTCAATCACAAATATAATTCATTTCAACAGTAAAGATTTATCAATACCTATTGAAACATGTTACGAATAGGCCACACGACCTAGAGTTGATTTGACTTCGTGTTAGCAACTAAGTCTTGTTATCAGAGAGACTTCATACTGCATCGACCGATAACTCGTCGATGTATGCATAAAAAATGGGTTTCGAAGAATCCCTAAATAGATTGCTGTTGGAGTACCTTTCATTTCATTTGAGGAGGCGAGTGGAAGGGATTCGTACGGTGGCCTCACCGGAAGCTGTAGGGGGATTACCTTGGAGTTGTGATTGTAAATTTGTGCGAATTGGTCTTCGGCGACCGCCCTGCGATCCCGGTGAAGCCTTGCTGAGCTTTCTTCTCTCATGCAATGGACATCGTCAGAGCAGAACACCATGCTTAACGAGAATCCACCAAAACACCAAGACAAGAAATGTGGTTGGCTTCAAACCTACCTACTTATTTTAGTCCAATTTGATCCACTTAATTATGCATCTATGCTCTGCCTTAATGGTTACTGAAAAGTTAGGTTAAGTGGCGGTAGATGAAGGATGAAACAGATGCAATTGTAACAGATAAATTGCATCCTCTCCTAAAACACTTATATGTTTAATTCTGCCATGTTACCACAGGTGATTGCGTTCCATTGTTCGTCAATGTTATAGAAAAAGGCAATCCTCATGACCAGTATTCTATTCAAAAAAGGTAGCTTCTCTGCTTTCTTCTTCAATGGTAACTGTCATAGCTCATAGAGCTGTATCTTTACCCTCACTTCCTCTTCAAATGCCAAATTGTCAAAACTACGATTACCTGTATCCTAATTTAGTCATGATACCCCAGATATGTCTCCTTTCAAGTGGTTTCACTGATACATAATCCCCTTCGCCACCAGTTTCGTATCCCATTTGTAGGGCTTTCAGAGCCCAACCGGTACTTCATTCAGAAAGCTATTTCTCTAAACTTCTGCCAGCTATTTCCTCTTGCTCTTGAAAATCGCTGCCTAATCTAACTGGCTGCCCTCGATCGCGTACTCTAGGATTTATTGGCAACTCGCCTTAAACGTATCAAATAACCTGAACATAAAGAGAAGCTGGATTTCGAAGAATCCCTTAATAGATTGATACTGGCGTACCTTTCATTTAGTTTGAGAGAGCGGGTCGAAGGAATTCGTAGATTGGCTCCGCCGGATATCGCAGGAGGGTTACCTTGGACTTTTGTCCGTTGAATTGTGCGAAGAATTCATAAGCACACCGTCTTATGGAGTCATCGGGGTCGTAAGACGGTGAGCCGAAGTCTTCTTTGCGCAGTTCAACAGACAAAAGTCCAAGGCAACCCTCCTGTGATATCCAGTGAGGCCAATCTACGAATACCTTTGACCTGCCTTCCCAAACTAAATGAAAGTTACGTCAGTATCAGCCTGAACAAAGCCTCAAAAAGGATGACTCTCAAAATGGTGATTCTCACACTTGCTGCTTTTTAAAGTACACTCAGCTTCAGAAGCCCGATTTCCCAGTTATCATTTTCTCCCTTCTCCACCCCATTCCCTGAGGGTTCTAGGTATGACTTACTTTATAGTGGTTAGTGTGGAGCTCTACGGTATCATTTTTAACATTCTTATTGCTGTATTGCGTTATTACTCCCTCTACCATTTTATTCCAACATAATCTTGTGGCCCTATTTCACTCAATCATTCGTGTTTACTTGAATTGGTACATTCTATTTTCAAGCTTGACATCATTTACCACCCCATCAATATACCCTTTGTAAAATGGTCCAACTGAGATTATCCCTTCAGCCGCCATTGAAACACTCGAGTGAATCTGTGTCAAACCTAGATCCTGGCAAAAATATCCCTAATGGCAGCCTATCAACGCGGTAAAAACTATTACTAGGTGTATTGAAATGGACCACTCCAGCCTTAATTTTACTTCTTTTACTTCTATCTTCTTCACTCGACTTAGATTTATCTCACAAGCATCTCCTACTGACAATCCTTTATCTTGTTGTCCTGATTATATCTTTCCTTTTGTGAAATTCCTTAATTTCTCCAAGGTTGCTAAATCAATAAGCGAAAGTCCAGACGACTTATACCTCTTCTTGTACATTAGAATGTCCATGACTTACTTGATCTCAAATTTCCTATTATTTTCATCATATTAAGTCATTATTTTGCTATTTCTGACCTCGTTCCCTGTATTTTGGGCTTTAACGGGATTCGATACCGTGGGAAAAGCTTGATTATCAGTCCTTATATCACCTTAAGCGATCTAGGATGATTACATTTTATTCAAGGAGCACCATCTATTATTGTATTGCCTCTATCTCTACTCACATAAAATAAGCTCAAACTACTTCCATACTGGAGAGTAACTTCGTATGTCCAACCAGGACAGGCATCGTCATATCAGGACACCAGGTTCTAAGATAATTCACCAAGCACGATGACAAGCAAGTTGGCCTGTTGCCAAAATACCTACTTCTGCTAGCCTGACTTTATCCTTGTAATGAAACAATTTATGATTTTTCGGTTATTCTATGCCTTTACTACATGCATGCAGATAAGCAAATGGGTGGCTGATGAAGCACGAAGTTGATGCAGTTGTAGCCGAAGAGCTTCATCCTCCCACAAAATGTTGATGCATGTAATTGCGCTCCACTGTACGTGTGTTGTGGACAGGCAAGGCTTATAAGTTGTGTAAGGTCTGAAAGAGCTAACCAGATTAAAGATAAACCTCGAAGATAAAACTTGTTGAGCTCACTTCCACTTAGAGTGAAATTGTTTGGTCAAGAGACTCCGAGGCCGACCCACCAGATACGACAGATGATTCCTCTTGGCTAAGCGTCAATTGGCCTAAGTGGAAAATTCTTTGTGACTCAGTTTTCGAGGCAATATTCTTCGATTTCGGTGAAAACATGCTAAGCTTTCGTCCGTCATATGACAGACATCATCAAAGCAAGTTATCATTCTTTCAACCATAATCGAACTAATGAGTCAATAAAACTCACCGATTTAGGTCAATATGTATACAGCATGTATGCATAAGCCAATGAGTTGTCATGACTCATTAGCTTGAACATAGTTGTAAGAATGATAGCCTGCTCTGAGATGTCCGTCATATGACGAAAGAAAGTTTAGCACGTTTTCATCGGAATCGAAGCAAATTGTTTCAGGGAGAGTCTCAACAAGAATTTTCCTGTTACGTTCTATTCCAATTGATTTGACTCATCATTGCTGGTTTCTTATATTTACGAGCACATTAAAGCACATAAAAATAGACAGATAGACACATTCGCATGCTTCAAGGATGAAACATAACTTGAACTAAATAAATCACTTTATACATTACTAAGTAGCTTAGATATAGTGTATATATATATATATATACATCATTTAGGGATGAACAGGTGAGTTTTCTTGACTCAATAGTTTGAATATGTTTTTGAGGATGATAGCCTGCTCTGATCATATCCATCATACGACGGACGAAAGCTTAGCACACTTTAACCAAAATCGAAGGAGATTGGCACAGAAACAGCGTCAAAATAATATTCTAGTAAGGCCAACTGACAGCTGGTCAAGAGGAATCCGCGGGTGGGATCGACCTTCGAGTCTATGCATCAAACACTTTTATTCTAAACAAAAGTGAGCTTAACAATTATATATCAAAAAGATTCCTTGAAACTCAACTTTTATTTGCAGATGCAACATGTTCCTATTGTTCTTCCCTACTCCTTTCCGCTTAACTGCATACACCCATTCCTTCCATTCGGGGCGTTGACTGCTCTGTTGATTTCCATAGACTCCCTAGTCTTCGGCTTGTATACTTTTCATATTATACCAAGAGTATTGCTTTAGACCAGTCTATCTGGTGTCCCGTGTGAGCCATGCGTGATTTTTGGACCCAAGAACGCTTGCGGGTTGTTTTATCTTGTATGAGTCGGTAAGTCTCGCCCACATAGACTCTACCAGATGAACACGCAACATTCTGACAACCCAATCTATAGAAAGGGTGAAAAATTTTTCAAATAGATTGAAGTCCTCTGCCATAGTAGTTGTGATGTTTTCCATGCGTACTTGGTGCAGTCCCATGTCTTGGATGACCTGAGTCCACAGTCCGACGCTGAGAAGAATCATAACTACTGTGGTAGAGGACTTTGGATAAAATGCGCTCCTCTGTCGCCCTAACAGCACGAACAAGTCGTGAAAATGAGGTCAAGCAACTTCGGTTTAGGGGATAGAGAATAAGATGAATATACAGGCCACAGCATTTTGCCCTCAACTATCCTGGAGAGGAGTAATGAGATACATTTTAAGCTATTTTAAGCGTTGTGTATTACTAATTGCTACATCTTGCGCAGCAAAGCCTCGCATACTTTATCTCATTTTTCCACCATTTATGCTGTCAGGACCATAGTTAAGCACAACTTTTCTTCCTGTTCTCTTTGATAAATTTGTCCCGATAGCCTAGCCCAACGGTTGCCAAGACGCAAAAGTCGCCAAAACAAGAATATTTAGTGGTCACCTGAGTTCCTTCTTCGGCGCCCCCGACTAGCCGGAATCCGAATCCGTTTTCGCCACGTGTAAGTGTCACCTCAACATCGCACGAGGCAGACGTGTCCTCTTTCACTGCGTCACCACCAACCCCCGATCCCACTTTGTCCCCTGGATGCCCCAAAGCTGCCTGACCCAGCGGGTGGGAGGCCAGTACAGCTGGGGCCTGTCTGGGCGGCGTAAACTGGACTCCTTCATGGATGGGACATCGCGATCGGGGTGATTGGGGCCCAGACTCTGGTGGACTGGCCCCCAGAGGCGGCCCCGCCCCGGCACTGCTAATACTCCCCAGGCTGTGACAGCCACTGCTACCGCTTCCGTTGCCTCCGACACACGCACAGGCCGGTGAGCGTCCTAACTCGCCCTGCGCCAAGTCGACCTCCCTCCCCAGCCTGGTACCACGGCACTCGTCCCTCATGGACGCCTGTCGTCGGCACAACACCTCGGCCTGGCCGGTCTCGGTGCCGACTAGGTGACCAGACGAGCTGTTTCTCACCAGCGTGGCAACAGCCGCACTGGTGAGAAACTGGGAGGCGGGCACGAAATCCGGCGTACCACAGGGTCCGCTGAACCCTACGCCTTGGATGGTGCGGGGCGTGAACAGAGCCAGTGGGCTCGCCCGATGGACGGGAGCAGTTGTGCCCGACTCAGACCCACGTGAGCCGAGGTGAGACTGTCTTTTCGAGTCTCTGCGGAACAATGAGGTCGCCTGGACCGGAGAGGAGCGTAGAAAATGCATGCCTGCGGACGAGACGACTGTGGACATCTGAGCTGTCGAATTCACAGCCCCCGGGGGCAGTGGTGCTATGAGGGAAGTCGGTGTCA